TGGTGAGAGCTGGTGAGAGGGAGACGTGGAACCACTGCAGTCTGAGAGGCAGCTGCTTGTCCGAGATGGAGGGAGTTGCCCGTCTTACCGATTGCGACGCGCTGAAGTGCCATAAGAGACGTGGCCGTTGGACACCTTTGACGCATATTTAATGTTGAATATGTCTGTGATTAAGGTGTGGTTCATGGCTACCTCTCTTCAGAGTGAAAGCGCACTCTGTTACTCAACTTTCTCCTTCGACGCATGGGCAGGCTAAGGAGATGCAAAGCTTATCTTTATTGATCAATTTCGGCTACGCAAGTGTAGTTGAGCTGCACTGGAATTGCTCGGCTCGCAAAGACACTTATCCAACCTGAGCCCGGACTGCGATTCTGAGTGGTGGTCTTTTACTGAGACGGCACGTAAGTAAGCTAACAGAATGGGCCAGTCGGTGGCTACAGGGGCGTGAAGGTGCCTGTGCTGCCACCTGTACCCGGCTGGGTGGAGTAATTAAACTGGAGACTACCTGCGCTCCTCCGCAAGGTGGCGCTAGGAACGCAGATCGGTGGGTCCTCGACTCTCGACAGACATCCAAAGCGAACAATGGGCTCAGTTCTGCCTGAATAACGCTCTTACAAAAGCGGACTTTGGTGCAAGCAATCTCCTTTCATTAGTGAGAAATACCTGAATGTTCGAGACGGAAAGTACCTCGGGATCTTCTATCTTTATAACTACCATATACAGGGTGAGCCATAAAGATTTACCCATCGAAAATTTCGCTTTATTTCCAAACGGGTTGGCGTAGGTATGCCATCTTTTGCATATATGTCGTAAATTTGTCTCCAATCCTGACAGTGTAGCTCATTTTGTATATGCTCGTCCACTGTCTCTGCTACGCTCCTGAAATGCGAGGTCGTCTTAACGCACATCCGCCGCTCCTGAAATTCAGTAATCACCACTGGGTGTTGGCTGCTGAACAGTGTCCAGTGTCCAACTCACAGTTTTGGACTGATTTCCTTCAAACTTTCATGAGGATGTGCTAAGTTCACCTATAGTTGCATAACATATAGTTCGTTTTTTTTTTTTTTGCTGCAACGCGCTGCTGTATTGGTGCGGCGTTTGAGACGAATTCGGCTCGACCCTTTTGCAGCATTACCTTCAAGCATCCGAGTTTGTTTATAAGCCCAACGCGCCGCTGCGTGCAGCGCACTGCAGCGCAGTGCCGTGAAACACTTCCATGGTGACCCGTCGGGGCTGAGCCTATCACGAGGATTGGCCACCCAGCTCCCTGACAGTACCGCACCAGGCTACGCGCCTGCTCCCAGGGGAGCCATGCCTGCATGGGATAAAGTTGCCTGTCCAGCCCGGAACAAGGGGTGGAGGTGTGGAGGAGAAGGATTTGATCATCCTGAGGATGGAAACGACGGAGCGAAGGGAGTTTTTATTACCATAGAAGGCATTTCCGTCCCATGCTTGGAATAATTTCTGTCACATCGCCGGCGCCAACCATGCAGTCGCACTATTCCGGAAGCTAAGTTATGTACCGATCACATTCTTGACAGATGATTCAGTCGGTCCCGACTCCCGTCCATCGACTTATACGGTTTAGCTGTGGTGACCGTTTCATAGAGAGGGCCGAATATTTATGCTCGGCCAGACTCCAGACTGCTGACCTGATGCAATAGTTATAATCGTTGCCAAGCGGTCAGGGATGCTCGAGTGGATTGCCGACAGGCCAGGCGTCAGGAAGCGTATGTCAAGTCACCGCCAATGGTAATTATGCCCTCCTCCTGTAACTGCCTTCCCATCTTGGGCCTTACAGTGATTCAGCACACTTTTGACGGCATATGATGCATTATTATCACATTAATGCTTGACAGCAGACAATTGTGAGCATAGCAACATCAAAACCACGCGCAGTGAATTGTTCATATTTGGTCCGGAATCCGGATACATGGTACCGTCAAGTTACCTGGCATGAATAATCCTGTTTGGTTGAATCGATATACCTTCCAATGAAACTGTTTGCATTGCTCTGTGAGTTGTTTCATCCGTTTAGAAATACGCATAGTGGATGATATTGCCATGCCCTCAACATGTACGTAGGTAGATATTTTTAGGAAAGATAGCGGTGTGAAATGAATGATAAAATCACCGGAACACCGAACGGTTTAAACTGTTTAACCCTCGCCGGCCGAAGGGAGGGGGGGCGGGTGCCGCCCTCCCATAGGGTTTTTTCGCGATAGCTCCGAACACGCTGGCGATAGAGAGCTGAAACTTAGCATACCTGACCTTTGATCCAAGCCGCATCTTTTGACACCAACCGCATTTTTAAGTCAGGTCAGGTCACTGACCTATGACGTCATAAGTGAACCTCTGCACGGTCTTCAGATGTCGCAACTTCGCAACGCCCTCACTGCCAGAGGAGATGTCACAGGGAAATGAAACTTGCAGGATCTAGTATCCATTATGAGTCTCACAACTTGTATATCTCGGATTTTTCCTAAAGGTCATATGAGGTCAGGTCATTTTCGTGACCTCACCATTATAAGTCAATGGGGAAAAATTCAAACTGCTATTCTGGCGCCGGGAACGATCTCCAACTATCTCAAGCACACAGAATCGTGATTTGACGCACTCCTTGCAAGGTTAGATGCGTCACTTTTGCAATGTTGACCTTCTGTGACGTCATTTATGACGTCATCAAGGTCATATTAGTTTTTCGTCAATAACTCCCGATCAAATTGAGCTAGCGAGTCGGGAAAGCCACCAATGGACTCAGGAAGACCTGCCGAATCGAATGATATGCGACATGACCTCTTTCGACCAACTTCGTGACCTGGGGGTGCTGACCTGACCTTGACCTGAGGTCAACACCCCAAGTTGACCTGACCCGGACAAAAAGCATATCATTCGACGCGCCTGATCAAGGCGAACACGATGCTGCCAAAATCACGGCTCTGTGGCTGTTTTTTTTGCGAAGTTATTCACCAAAAACTGAACCGTACCCTGGGGCACTTGACCTGACCTCAGAGGTCACCGGTTGACCTAGGACCTTAAAATCGGGTACCAATCTCTGCGTCTCGTAACGGCGCACACGCTCGTTTTTTCCGCGACGCGCTAGCTCCACCAGGGGCGAAACGGCGAGGGGGGGTCGTACCCGCCCCCCCCCCCCTCGGCCGGCGCGTATGTAGAAAACCAATAGGTCCGGCGAGGGTTAAAATATATAGGTCCTGATGCTCCTCATCTGGACCTATACGATATGGTTTCATCATGCACAGACATTCACCTACGCTGATATCCATTCCTTGTATCAAATGTCAAGGTGAAATGGGAGAAAGTGGCCCTTGGAATGTTGCATGCCACCCCAGAACCTACTATGTAGATTCCGCATACCATGGGTTTATGGTCGCACTTTTTTAAATACCGACAACATACCCGACAGGTAATTTAGAGCACACGTGCATGACATAATGCCATCATGTTAATAAACGGCCAACACGTTTCGTCTTAATTATTTGCCACAAGAACTTGATATCATGAAAAGTATTCGTTATTAATGGATCTAATATGAAGCAGTTCTGATTCCTGTCATGTGCTACTTACTCCATTGGTCATAAGTTACATACAGTTATTTCAGTGCTAGCCAGTCAAGCAGCACTGCACTTGCATGCACTGTGTTCCACAGTTGTTTATTTTCCTGGATGCACGGCTCTGTGCACCTGTATCTATCAGTGGGCCTCCATTACCACTTTTCCATTAGTTCACGGTGGTTTGAGTGCTCGAACTGACCAGCCTTCCCGTGGGAACTGCACTTGAAGCCGTCGCGTCGCCAGGATGACGTGCCGCTCGCGATGCCTGTGCCGGCCGCGTGCCGAGCTATCGGCAGCTGGGCTGAGGCAGCAGCCGCTGACAAAGGACGATCCCACGGTGTGCCCACGGGCGTGACGGCATGCGGCGTGACCGAGCGCGCATGACAGCGTCCAACAATTGTTTGTCGATGCTGATGGAAGCCATTTTACTTTTTGAGCCATGCTTCTTGCAGCGTTTGTCTGAAGAGTCGTTTGGTGTAAAACATATGAAGAACCTGTCTTAATTATTGTTGATTTCGATCGAAAATTAACTATTCAACCAGTAACGCACTTCGGCGGAAAAAACGGACAGAATATGTTGCGTGTTGTCTTTTATCATGGATCGATAGGTGGTGCATAATTATTTATCCCTCACAGCAACCCCAAATTGTTTCGCTTTTAAAATTATTGCTCAAGCAGTGGTTCTCAGGCCGGTGGCTGTGACATTTTTACCATAAATGCTCGATAGATAACAGTGGGCTTAAAGGGACCCTCCCACCTTAACATTAGTTTTGAGTTGAGATAGCCAAGTTTGCGGCCAGGCTCAGAAACCACCATTTATCCTGGTCGCAACCCCCGCAGCTTTATGGTGTTCAAGAAATTTATTCCCTTTACTTGCAGGGTGGGACCAGCGTGGTCCCTATCTCTTAACCATTACGGGAATCTGATGACGTCATCAGGCTTTCGAACGTCCGTTAAATGTTTGACTAAAACGTTTTGCATCACGCGGTGGTATATGCTGCTTTGCGCGCAACAAATGCCGCACTTTCAAATAAAGTCGCTAGGAACAGCGGAGATCCCAAAAAGTAAACAAAAGTAAAAGTCTAATATCTTGAAAACCGGTGAATATTTTTCGATGAAATTTGGTAGATATTCGTTTTTGCTCTTTCTGAACCAAGCGACATCACTTTCATGCCAATTCATTAACTTTTTTGAAGGTAGGAGGGTCCCTTTAATCTCTGACTGCTGGGCTCAACATCACATTATGCGAAACTCATCCAGAGGCACTGGCCATCTGACATGTTGTCAAAATTTCTAATCCCTTACATGTCACACGCATCGCGCTAGTGTCGCATCCAGAGCAGGCGAGCTCCATTGAACCTCCCCCTGCCCCTCCTCTCCCCTCCCCTCCCTCCGGCTCGGCACCAGCGCGGCGCGCTGACCCGTCAGACGAGTCTGAGAATCCTGCCGCGGTGGGGCCGAGGGACTGCGGTCTACATTCCAGAGCCCGTGCTGGCGGCCCCCGGGACCCCGGCGGGTCCCTGGTCGACGCACGGCACCCACACACTGGGACCAGGCAAATGGCGGAGACCTCAGTGATCTTGCTAAGACGGGCGCAAGTCCGATCAAGATATTATGGGAGATTGACGCCTGTGAGGCCATCACGAAACCTCGCCAAATTAAGACCTGGCCAAGCACCCGGCGCCGTGCGGAGACGGCGAACACTGGGAGATTATGACGCAGTCGGGCGGGCCAAGGTGCGGTTTTGTTTGGAATTAGTTTCGGCCACCGAGCGTCGCAGGTTCGCGGTCGGGTGAGCGTTTGTGTGCTGTCCGGTCCGTTTGGGAGCTGCCGGGTGTCGCTGCCCCCCCCCCCCCGCTGAGTGGGGAGGGTCGAGCGGTGGAGGGCGAGCCCTCGCCGGCCGCCGGGCGAGCCAGCAGCGGCCGCAGATGCAGGTATGTTTGTCGACAGACCGGCACGCGTTTCGGCCGGCTGTGCTACTTTTCACAGGGCCCACCTGGCCAGGGCGGCTGACTGGGGCTGACTGGAACGAATTGGCCGGCAGCTGTGTGGAAAATATGTCAGTGTTCCGGCAGATCACCTGGTGTTTACTTCATGGTGATGCTGAATTTTCCAGCGATTGGATATTCATATGTTGATGAGCATCCATTTGCTCCAGTTTTACCACTAAAAGAACACAAAATGCATGCATATGCTGACCATTAATGGCTATAATTAATAATATGCTGTCTAAGATCCTTTGCAGATATACTTTTTGACTGGCCTGTCTCTGCAGCTGTGCACACAACTTTCACATTTCTTACATGGTGATCCTAAGGACGCAGGCAATAATACCCTCGCTCTCTGGTTATCAGTCCGACGATCATCAGCCATGCATCATGTGAACTTCACTGTAAACCTCACTCTGCCTCCATTTCTTGTTCCATTCTCTTTGGCCTATTGGGTTCATGGCCCAATAGATAACTCGGTGTTAAATGTGCTCCCTAAACGAGCGGCCGGTTTTGACAAGATCCCTGCGATAGGTCCGAGTGTTTTTCTCTCGGGCTGAGCCGAGCAGTCCGCTGCCCTCTCTCTGTTATGGACGACCGACACCGAGCGCCGCTCACAAAAACTGGGCCGACTTTTTACCAAAGGAATGCGACGATGAATAGTTATTCCGCTACCGTCTAACGAGCACTGGCCTGGATACCCGCGGTCGTACTGCATTGACGCGTCGTTAAAATCGTTCCGTCCTACCACTCACGAGAGAGCTGAGCTACTATCGCATTGTTTTAGTGTGTTTTTAGCTGAAGCGGCGTGGTTTTAAGCGCACGTGTTGGGGGCTTAGCGTCGCGCGCATCGCGTATCACTGGTGCAGAAAAGCCTTAGAAACCAGCACAGAGCTGCGGTCTAAGCTGATGGGAGCACGTGTCCACTCAGGACCAGGATGTTGGATGTTGTTGGTCGCAGCCGGCGCAGCGGGGGCCGGGGGTGGGCACGGGAATTCCTCGTTACCTGTATGTCCTGAAGATGATAGGATAAAGTGTGAATGGACGGCTGAACAAAGCTGCGGCGCATCTGGACAGACTGAGCCGTATGCGGTGTGATCTTTGCTCGTGTAAATCTCTTCAAATGTTCCATGCTTAAACCCAACAGGTAACCAGACCGGCGCGACGGTTGTGCTGCGCTGGTGTCGGAGTCGGAGTCTGAAGCTTCAATTACGTTTAAATTAATCATTTTATGGCAGCATTTTCTTGGTCTTTTTTACAGCTGATGTGTCTGAATGATTCAAACATCTCATTAATTTCTATTGTGCCGAAATGATGAACATGTCACAGTGGTTTAAATCTCATGTTATCAAAATTTGGAGCTTCAAATCGAGCATTTCCCCTTCATTGTGGCATGTATTTCCCCTTCCAGGCTTGTAACTCGATGTATATGTCGCAGGCATCAGGTGAAATCCGTCATTTCTTGAAATGTCCAGGCTTTACATGGAAAGCCTAGGCTTTTCATGAAATGCCGGATTTCAGCCGATGCCTACGACATATACATTTTATAATCATCTGCTTTATTAATAATTTTATTCGGGAGTCGCGCCACTCGCCGTTCCTTGGATGTCACGTGTCGCTGCATTGAGGTCATATGGCATCTGAGACCGCCCCGCCCAGACACCGTACAGTGGCATTTTCTGGGCGTGGGACCGGGCGCTCATTGACTCCGCTCGGCCCGCGCTCGGAGGCCATTCCTCGGCCCAGAAGAACCGAGCACTGGCCGGCGTAAAAACGGCCCGGTATGCGCCCGGTAGGAGTGACGGCCGACCAGCTATTCGGCCGGCGCTCCGCGGCCCACGCGGAGCGCTACTCACAGCTCGGGCCGGCCGCACCGGGCCCAGAGTTATGCGGACAGACGCCGCGCCGTAAGTTGTCGTTCCTTTGACCACGAATTTACGGGCCCAATGACCGATATATTTATGGCGACCGTTTGATAAAGCGGTCGTGCCAAGACGAGTGGGTCCCTGGATGAAAGCGTGCGTACGTTGTGGATCAGTAAATTTATACACAATGAAAGGCTGTATTTGTTTCTCGGCCTACTCTTTCCAGCTGCATTGTTTCAGCTGAATTCTCATTTCAATCACAACAAAGATAACGAACTTTCTAACACATGCATAGACTGGAGTCTTACTGAAGAAGCTAGCCTAGCCACTCGACTTTAAATCCCCTCGTGTCGCTATTTTGTCGGTCCTTCGACCCACCGTACTATGCACTGACGAAGATCGGAGGGCAGCCATCTCTCCCTTCTCTCCTCTCTCTCTCTCTCTCTCTCTCTCTCTCTCTCTCTCTCTCTCTCTCTCTCTCTCTCTCTCTCTCTCTCTCTCTCTCTCTCTCTCTCTCTCTCTCTCCGGCTGCCACCCGCTGCCGTCCCGCCCATCCAAGCAGCCACATCTTCGCTGCCCATCTTGATCTCGCACAGTCCGTGCCCTTTCATGTGCAAATGGGATTAGTGGCGCTCCCGGCAGGCTAACCATTACGAATTATCTATCGGACGAGGTGGCCGTAAACTCCGCTCACCAGGCGACAGTTACGGCGCAATGGAGACATCGGCGGCGCACTGCGGCGCGTGACGCGACCCGCCAGTCACGACCGTCACGACCGTCACGTGGTTGGGTCACTGCCGGTCACTGGAGTCACGTGACTGTCAATGACGGAACGATTGGCGCCAAAAACTCCAGTAGCCATCTCTTCTATATTTACTATGCTGTGCTGCTTTAGACAGAGCCTTCTGTTTTCATAACTATCAGTACCTACCTATTTTTTCATTTTTATGTGAAAAACTGATATTTATTCGGGAGCATCAATGTGCTACGGCAGGCGGCAGCCAGGTTATGTGTGATGGCTCGCGAACCTCCCTCTTGTGTTGCTTCAGTTGCTTGTTGACTCATGTCAAGACCGAAGCTCACAATGCTCTTTTTATACTCCTCAGCAATTGATATTCGGCTATATCTGCTGGGGCATTCCACGATAGATCGACCAAAAAAACTTAAAATTTACACCAGCATATTTTATTTTTTTGCTTAGAATTAGTCTAATGGGTTGTGATGGGCGGGGAACCCAGCTGTGGCAAGGATTTTTTTCTTCGAACAACGGTTTCCGAGATATAGCCTCGGACAGTTCCTGGAGGTTACGCTGCAACCCTATGTTTGGCGGCTTATAACTCAGAAACTATTGGTTTTCTATGGTAAAAACTTGATATGGTTCAACTCGCAATCAACCAACAAACGTTTTGGCTATCTCGGATTTTCGATTTGTGAAAATTTTGATTGCGTAACATCTTGACCTTTTTTTCGAAGAGTGACCTTGATATTTTCCCAACTGAAAGTCGCAATTTTGTCTGATGACGATTAAAGCCTTATCAATTGTCATTCACATGCGATAATAAAAAAGTGGCTTTCGGCCTGCGTTGACCTCAGTTCAGGTCATTTTTATAACCTTCCCATTATTACGAGCGGGAGCGACAGCGAGATCTCGAGAACAAAGCAAGATAGCACAAGCGGTAAACGGCACAGGGTACACATGGATAAGGTCTACAATTTTTACTCAGGTCATTTTCAAGTCAGGTCAAAGATGACGTCACAGGGGTAAAAAGAAAGTATAAATGGCGGCACTACATATATATCAAGTTTTTCTCGAATAACTTTCGAAGTATCCCAGCTAGGAACAAACTAATAGCACCATCGTGATCCTCTCGTCGATCCGCATCGAAACATGTGTATGTTGACCTCGAAAGGTCAAGGTCAAAAGTTGACCTTAGGTCACGTGACCTTAAGGTCATCATATATATCATTCGATGGGCCTTGACTAGCTGAACACAATGAGCCTATCCGCGCGGCTGTATCTCAAACCTGTAAGGAGTTATTAGCAAAAAAACATTTGGTGACCTTTAATGACGTCACATGACCCAAGAGCAACGTCACAGTTGACCAAGAGCAAGAAAGGTCTCAAGGTAGTCAAAGTTAGTCGCATATGGAGTCACTCATGGTATATTAGGCAATTCCGACGCGTTTTAGTGTAAAAATAAGGGAGCTGATTTTTCCCCAATTGACTTATAATGGGGTGGTCAAGAAATTGACCTGACCTCAGGCCATCGGTATCGAAACTCAAAACGAACTGGCGCTAGGCGAAAGCGAACGGATTGGTGGCTATTCTACGTCTCTTTCTTTATTAGATAAAAAAATACAGCCAAAAACGGAAAATTATTGTGTGTTCAACGCGTGACCTCGGATGACCTTCAGCGGGTCACTGATACAAAGCTGCACCAGTGCCATCAATAATAGCATAACTCAATATGATTCAAAAGTATTTGAACCGGTCAGATGCGTTTCGGTGGTAGCCGATATTGGTGGTCTGCCATTGACTTATAAAGGACAGGTCAAAAATGACCTGATCTCACGCCAATGCAGGCCGAAAGCCACTTTTTTATTGTCGCATATGAATGACAATTGATAAGGCTTTAATCGTCATCAGACAAAATTGCGACTTTCAGTTGGGAAAATATCAAGGTCACTCTTCGAAAAACGATCAAGATGTCACGTGATCAAAATTTTTAAAAATCGAAAATCCGAGATAGCCAAAACGTTTGCTGGGCGCTGGCTGATTGCGAGTTGAACCATATACAGTTTTTACCATAAAAAACAATAGTTTCTGAGTTATAAGCCGCCAAACATAGGGTTGCAGCGTGACCTCCAGGAATTGCCTGAGGCTATATCTCGGAAACTGTTGTTCGAAGAAAAAAATCCTTGGCACAGCTGGCTTCCCCGCCCATAACAACCCATTAGACCAATTTTAAAGGGACCCTCCCACCTTAACATTAGTTTTGAGTTGAGATAGCCAAGTTTGCGGCCAGGCTCAGAAACCACCATTTATCCTGGTCGCAACCCCCGCAGCTTTATGGTGTTCAA